CCCGTTTTTTACTTTTGTTTTTTGTTTTCTTTCTTTTTTTTTTTTCTTTATTTTTCTTTTTTCGTTTTTCTTCTCTCTCTGTGTGTGTGTGTGTGTGTGTGTGTGTGTGCTGTGCTTGTGTGTGTGTGTGCTGGGGGTGTGTTTTCTCTTGTCTTGTGTGTTCCTGTATACATAAACCTATTCGTGCATTTCCCGCGTATGTGTATATCTATGTATCTCGCGCTTTACTGCAGCAGAGTGGGTGGGGGGAGGGGGTCATAACACGATGGGAAAGTGGTGAGAGGGGGAGAGGGAGTAACTTCACTCTGCTGCTTTTCCACCGCACGTCTCTTACACGTATGGCGTGGGTTATACGTCGAAGTCACCGAGAAACGTGATTATCACTACTATTAGCAGTAAACTACGTTAGCATTAAACATTAGCAATAGTTGTTGGTAGTCTCTATACACGGCTTGCTGTTCCGGTAGCCTGAGTCAGGGGGAATAGGGAGGGGGGAAGGGAAAGGTGAAGCAAAGCCGGACCCCCGCCCCCGCCACCGCCCACTCCCACCCTGCCTTAGCAACGATGTAACGTTTCTGCACTGCAAAGCGTAAGGAAAGAGTGGGGGAGGGGGAGGAAAAAAATAAAATAAAATAAACCGGAGTAAAGCAACTTGTTTTTTTTTTGACTGTGCCTGTAGAGGGGATGGGAACTGGAGGGAAAGGAGTCACCTTTGTCAGTCGCATTGTTTGTTTAGTTTGTTTCTTTAGTTTTGTCGGCTAGTAGAGGCCTGGGGAGGAATGCCCGTGTGCCGACGTGTCTCAGTATATATATATCCCAAGTTCGCCTTGTTTTGGTTCATCCTGCCTTTTTGTCCACTACACGGTCGTATGCCTATTATGCGTAGATACATGTGTTTGTGTGCGTTTCCAGCGAGGCCGTGTTGAACAGGTAGCGTAAGTGCATCCCGCTTTGTTATTGTCGTCTTTTTTTAAAGTTTCTATTCTGTCCACCGATTCCAAATTCCCGCCGCCAAGAACAGCCCCGCACGCGGGGGGAGACGGGGAATCAAAGAGTGATGGATGCATTTAGTTAGTGCTTGGCGGCCCATGATTACTATTTTTATTTATTTATGTGTTTCCGTGCGTGTGTGTGTGTGTGTGTGTGTGCTGGGGGTGTTGGGCGCCTTGAACCCAAACTTTCACCACCCGCCACCCGTGCTCTCTC